GGACAGTCCAGGGAGAAGGAGGAGCGGGATTGACAGTAATGGAGAAACGACTCACCCTAGTTCATCTAAGATCAAACACAGTGCATATTAAATACTGAATACTAAATACATAGAATACATAGAAAAACAAAAATTTCCTTGTGAAAGCTTGAAGTTAATAAAGTCTGACTACAAGTAGACTGCAGATACTTTGTGAAAAGTTTAGAAGTGCAGGAATTAATAGAATATATATTATATGGAACATAATGATGTCTTTGCTCGTATTTATAAAAGAATTTGCCACAAGACTTTGTTAATTAATTAAGAGTACATGCAGAGTTATCGATTGGAAATATTTCTGAAATAACTGATTAAGTTGTGGAACACATCTGTACAAATTACAAGCTTAAAATATATATATATATCTCCATGGTAGATATATGATTGACAAAAGAAAGTAGAATTAATATTTATGTATATGAATACTAATGACTAGATGTTACCATACTACTACCACTCCATTCTCATTCATTACACTAATCAAGTACAATTGTACTATAGATTGTACTATAAAAACAATGATGCACATAATATGCAAAAGTATGTTATTGTAATATTAGTAAGTGAAACAAAACTTTGTTCGGTAAAATTATAATGTCTTTTCTTAATTTTTAAACTTTCTTTTGCTCATCACTGCACACCTGATGGAAATAAGAAGTTATTTTCACCGGTATTTTAAACTTAGTTTAATTAAAATGGGATCTATTTGATCTTTAGAAACACTCTATACACAGAATACTAGTGGATAGTATATGCAGTACAAAATTATCAACATATAATCGCACAGCAACAATTGAAATAAATAATTAAAATTAAGAACGCCGACAGAATTGTCTAAGCGAATAAATTTTGTAAAAATATAAAAAGAAATCGCGTAAATTGTTATGAAGTGATTAAAAATTCTGCCGAACAGAAACTCGTCCCAGGCAAGTTTCTTCAACTAATTCGAATTTGTTCGTGCGATATTCACGTAGAATCGTGCTTCCACACACTCGCGTTTATACTCTATTTTTAATACTGAGAAATCAGCACGTTCAACATTTTTTCTTCTTCTGTATTTGGCAACTTATCTAGATACTTTGTGTGTGCCCGAATCGAAAATGGAGAATCACAGAATCGCGGGAAACCGGAAATTGCTTTGCTACCGGATATACGTAAAATCTCCATACGTAAAATGTTCCAATAAATTTTTTGAAATCAATAAT